AACAAGTTGGCAGACTCTACACTATAGAATACAAGCTCTGGTATGCAATAGCTCATGCTGCCAACAAGTTGGCAGACTCTACGCTATAGAACAGAAGCTCTGGTATGCAATAGCTCATGCTGCCAACAAGTTGGCAGCCTATAAGCGAAGTTATAGGCTTCGAGATGTAGTAGCTCATGCTGCCAACAAGTTGGCAGTCTCTACGGTATAGAACAGAAGCTCTGGTATGCAATAGCTCATGCTGCCAACAAGTTGGCAGCCTATAAGCTTTAGTTACAGGGTTCCAGATATAGTAGCTCATGCTGCCAACAAGTTGGCAGGCTCTACACTGTAAAACAGAAGCTCTGGTATGCAATAGCTCATGCTGTCAACAAGTTGGCAGACTCTACACTATAGAATACAAGCTCTGGTATCCAATAGCTCATGCTGCCAACAAGTTGGCAGCCTATAAGGGAAGTTATAGGCTTCGAGATGTAGTAACTCATGCTGCCAACAAGTTGGCAGTCTCTACGCTGTAGAACAGAAGCTCTATTATGCAATAGCTCATGCTGCCAACAAGTTGGCAGCCTATAAGCGAAGTTACAGGGTTCCAGATATAGTAGCTCATACTGCCAACAAGATGGCAGGCTCTACACTGTAGAACAGAAGCTCTGGTATGCAATAGCTCATGCTGCCAACAAGTTGGCAGGCTCTACACTGTAGAACAGAAGCTCTGATATGCAATAGCTCATGCTGCCAACAAGTTGGCAGACTCTACGCTATAGAATACAAGTTCTAGTATCCAATAGCTCATGCTGCCAACAAGTTGGCAGACTCTACGCTATAGAACAGAAGCTCTGGTATACAATAGCTCATGCTGCCAACAAGTTGGCAGACTCTACGCTATAGAATACAAGTTCTAGTATCCAATAGCTCATGCTGCCAACAAGTTGGCAGACTCTACTCTATAAAAAAGAAGCTCTGGTATGCAATAGCACATATATGAACGAAGTTACAAGCTTCTAAATGTAGTGCCAACTTGTTGGCAGCATATACACATATATATTTAATAGAAAAAAAGTAAAAAATAAAATTTAGATAATAAATTTTTGTAACTAGCGCCATCTTTTGCCCAACTACTAAATGTTAAAACTCCAACTCAGATGATAATACAGTTTTTTATCTTATTAAATTTTTTTTTTATATTAATTTTAACTTACTCTTTCCTCAACTTCTCTAAACACTCCAATCGATCATTAGATAAACTCTTCCACCTCGAACATTCTTCGCGACTCGATTCAAGTTGATTCTCGACGCATTTTAATTGAGTATGTAATTCATTGGTGTGTTGGACCAAGGCGTTGACTTGTTTAATATAATATTCAACAGCAGCTTTCCCCTCGTTTTCGTGCGATTCATTTTCTTTTTCAATTAGAACCATTTGAAGCCGTTTAACTTCCTCGCGCATTCTTTGTGCGGCCAAACTGTGTTCGTCTCGATCTTTTTTTAATAGGGATTGATATTTGATGACGTCTTCTTCCTTTTCGGTAAGAATAGCTTGAAGTTTAATTAAATTCGATTTTAAATCTTCAACGGCGTCTTCTTCAACGGAAATTTCCTTTTTCGATTGTAATTCTAAGATGTGTTTTTCGTAAAACGTTATTTGCGATTGTTTATCGCCCAATTGCGATTTAAAAAGACTCAAATTCATTTCTAATTCGGTTAATTTCGATTTTAATTGTTCGATTATTTCGGTTTTCGAACTCAGTTCGTTTTGATTTTGTAACAATTCCATTTGGATTTTTTTTAAGTTTTGATTACTTCCGTTTCCGTTTTGGATTGTTTCTAAATCGAAAATTGTTTGGGTTTCTTGTGAGTTAAAAATTTTTATATTTTCGATTTTTTTTTGAATCTCTTCTTTATCATCGTTGAGGGGTTTTAGTTTAATGTTATCGATAGTTTTAGGGATATTAATTTCTAAATTTTGGTACGATAAGAATAAGGCTTCCTCTAATTTTGACGTGTGATTGTTTTGCATTTCTATCTTTTCTAACGCTTGGTCCAATTGGGTTTGAAGAAATTCCGATTTCCTCCTTTGCTTTAATTCCTTTTAAACTCAAATGATTAAAATAAATCAGACTAATTAATTAATAATATTACCTGTAATTGTATTAAAGATTTTTCGTTGTACCATTTTGATATTTTCTTGTGGAAATCCTCACTTTTAATTTCCTCAATCATTTCTAATTGCTCCTTTAATTGTTCCTTTGTGATTTGAACCTCGTTTAATTCGTCGGAAATTTTTTGCAAATTCAAAAAACTTTCAAATTTATCTTTATTGATTTGTAAGATATTTTCAATGTATTTCCTCTCTGATATTAGCGGGATATAACCGAGATATTGGTGGCGGTGTTGAATTATTATTTCTTGTAAGTTTCTGTAATTACAAATTATAGGAACTTATTTTCCTTGGTACAAATATGGTTGAGGCGCTTATTTATAGGGGGAGTTCATTCATTCTTATAAGAATCACTACATAAAAACTTTCCAAGGTATAAAATCGATCCTTTAATCTTCCTACCTTGTCTAGGGGAGCATAATATCTTATGATCATCTAGTGAAGATATTGTTGCTGACACCCTATATAAAAACCCCGCACCTGATTATAATTATTTATTATCAGATGCGAATTTTTGGAATTGGGTCCTTCTTACCTTATAGAAGGGCCCCCAAAGGATGGTGTAATCTAAATGGAAGTGACAAGCATTGTTTGTTCTTTTGGTATAAAGGAAATAGAGACGTCAGTATCATACAGGACGTTTAAATAAAAAAAAACATAAGCCATGTCAAACTCAAAGTGACTGGTGGGCCAAAAGCATCAAACTTTATCAATATTGATAGTGAAAAGACCAATAAATAAAGAAAAGTTGCTTTCTTGTGACTTAAAATCCTGAAAACGTTTTTCAAATTCTGCCAATTTCTCTGTATACACTTTGTATGATATTGGGGGGATTCTTGTACTTTCTTGACATGCCTACAAGTGACATATTATTTTCCCACATCATCATCTTACACTTGAAAGCTTTCACATGATCATACATACATGTTATAACTTGACGTGGTCTTTACAGTTTCCTATTTAAGTCCGATAAGTGTTTAAATGTGTTCTCTAAGGTAAAAGATTTTGGTTTAGTGGTCGATTCCAAACTGTTATTCTTCTATCACTTAGAAGAACTTATCAGCAAGGCGAACAGGAGCTTAGGTTTTATTATTAAAATGTCAAATTCATTTACCAATCTACAGTACATCAAATCTTTGTACATGGCTTATGTGAACAGTATTCTTAATTTTGATACTAGGTTTTTATCACGTTTAGTGTTAGTTCTAGTGACAGTGTTAGGTTGTGCTAATTAACACTAGATTGTTATATACTGTAAAGTCCCTAGATTATCAGAGTACCAACGTTCAAACCGGTCATTTACAAAAAGTTGCACGTGTAATACGTTGTTGCCTATGGAGTTGCAAAAATAGCAGTAGGATGGGCTTTTGACTCTTCAGAGTACTACGAAAGAACAAAAAGGAGGAAAATTTTGCGTAATTTTATCAAAACGACTTAATAGGGCGATCAGTCCTTTATGAGGTTAGTTTATTGTTAATAAAAGATGAAAAAGCTTAATGAAACCGTCGTGTAGAAGAAGCAATAGTGGAAAAACAACTCATCAAGTAAATTCGACTAAAATGAAATTAATTGGTACATTACTGCTGTTATAAACTGTTTAATCTTTCTACTTTAACTACTGTTTTAAATTTCCCGCTTGATTTTCGAGCCAAAATGGCGGTACTTTGATAACCTAGGGAGTTTAATATACTGTTAATGTACTAACACTAGACTTAGTTTCTAATATTTCTAATTCTTAGAACCCGGAACTTTTTAGTTGCAGGTCTAGTGTTAGAACTAACAGCTTTAGATATGCAAATAGGTTAAGTGATAAGCTTCCAGATTTAGTAGCTCATGCTGCCGGCAAGTTGGCAGACTCTATGCTATAATATAGAAGCTTTGGTATGCTATAGCTCATGTAGTAATACATGTATAAGTGAAGTTACAGGGTTCCAGATGTAGTAGCTCATGCTGCCAACAAGTTAGCAGGCTCTATACTATAAAATAGATGCTCTGGTATGCTATAGCTCATGCTGCCAACAAGTTGGCAGCCTATTACAGGGTTTCAGTTGTAGTAGCTCATGCTGCCAACAAGTTGGCAGGCTCTACGCTACAAAATAGAAGCTCTGGTATGGAATAACTCATGCTGCCAACAAGTTGGCAGGCTCTATACTATAAAATAGAAGCTCTAGTATGCTATAGCTCATGCTGCCAACAAGTTGGCAGCCTATAAAAGGGTTCCAGTTGTAGTAGCTCATGCTGCCAACAAGTTGGCAGGCTCTACGCTACAAAATAGAAGCTCTGGTATGGAATAGCTCATGCTGCCAACAAGTTGGCAGGCTCTATACTATAAAATAGAAGCTCTGGTATGCTATAGCTCATGCTGCCAACAAGTTGGCAGGCTCTACCCTATACAGCCTGTTTCAGAGTAAGCACCTTATTTTTTTTTTACCACACTATGGGTACTACATTCAAAATACTTGGTAGTAATATGTTTTAGGCCATTCTCTACACGGAGGTGATACATACCAGATTTTCAATTGGACGAATTATTTTGAAATGGCGACTTTCAACTTTTTTTTTTTAATGGAATGCCATTTTTTTTATTATTGAGATCCCAAAAACATTCTTTTTACGATAGTATTTCGTTTTTCTTTCCCCATCAAAAAGCAAACTAACATTTTAATCTAGTAGCTCACGAATGTTTTACACTCGATGTTATTTTTGTCCAAATATCAAGTAGCGGTAGACACAAAAGAACAATAGACGACCTAAGTCTGACGTCACAGAGGTGGGCGGAGCTTATACTGACTCCAAACAATTTCGTTGCTAACCACAGTTGATAAGATAAATGTCATTTGAAATGTCATAACTTAGTTTATTTTATTTTAACACTAATAGTAAATTACATATGATGATTTACCGTTAGCAACACAGTTAGCAACGAAAAAGTTTGGAGTCAGTATAAGCTCCGCCCATCTCTGTGACATCAAGGCTTAGGTTGTCTATTAAATTTTAATCTAGTAGTCAAACGTCAATCAATGCTATCAATCTATTGACTCAATTAAACGACGTTTCAATTTATGTATTGAAAAAGAAGGCAAACATTTCGAGCATTCTTTGTAAATACCTAATTTTTATTTGATGTAAATTTTTAATTTTGAGTTTCAAAAAGTAGATGATTCCAGATGTAGTAGTGTTAATAGAAGCTCTGGTATGGAATAGCTCATGCTGCCAACAAGTTGGCAGGCTCTACACTATAGAACAGAAGCTCTGGTATACAATAGCTCATGCTGTCAACAAGTTGGCAGCCTATAAGTGAAGTTCCAGGGTTACAGATGTAGTAGCTCATGCTGCCAACAAGTTGGCAGCCTATTACAGGGTACCAGTTGTAGTAGCTCATGCTGCCAACAAGTTGGCAGGCTCTACGCTACAAAATAGAAGCTCTGGTATGCTATAGCTCATGCTGCCAACAAGTTGGCAGCCTATAAGTGAAGTTACAGGGTTGCAGATGTAGTAGCTCATGCTGTCAACAAGTTGGCAGGCTCTATACTATAAAATAGAAGTTCTGGTATGCTATAGCTCATGCTGCCAACAAGTTGGCAGCCTATTACAGGGTTCCAGATGTAGTAGCTCATGCTGCCAACAAGTTGGCAGGCTCTACGCTACAAAATAGAAGCTCTGGTATGGAATAGCTCATGCTGCCAACAAGTTGGCAGGCTCTATACTATAAAATAGAAGCTCTGGTATGCTATAGCTCATGCTGCCAACAAGTTGGCAGGCTCTACCCTATACAGCCTGTTTCAGAGTAAGCACCTTATTTTTTTTTTACCACACTATGGGTACTACATTCAAAATACTTGGTAGTAATATGTTTTAGGCCATTCTCTACACGGAGGTGATACATACCAGATTTTCAATTGGACGAATTATTTTGAAATGGCGACTTTCAACTTTTTTTTTTTAATGGAATGCCATTTTTTTTATTATTGAGATCCCAAAAACATTCTTTTTACGATAGTATTTCGTTTTTCTTTCCCCATCAAAAAGCAAACTAACATTTTAATCTAGTAGCTCACGAATGTTTTACACTCGATGTTATTTTTGTCCAAATATCAAGTAGCGGTAGACACAAAAGAACAATAGACGACCTAAGTCTGACGTCACAGAGGTGGGCGGAGCTTATACTGACTCCAAACAATTTCGTTGCTAACCACAGTTGATAAGATAAATGTCATTTGAAATGTCATAACTTAGTTTATTTTATTTTAACACTAATAGTAAATTACATATGATGATTTACCGTTAGCAACACAGTTAGCAACGAAAAAGTTTGGAGTCAGTATAAGCTCCGCCCATCTCTGTGACATCAAGGCTTAGGTTGTCTATTAAACTTTAATCTAGTAGTCAAACGTCAATCAATGCTATCAATCTATTGACTCAATTAAACGACGTTTCAATTTATGTATTGAAAAAGAAGGAAAACATTTCGAGCATTCTTTGTAAATACCTAATTTTTATTTGATGTAAATTTTTAATTTTTTGAGTTTCGAAAAGTAGATGTTTCCAGATGTAGTAGTGTAAATAGAAGCTCTGGTATGCAATAACTCATGCTGCCAACAAGTTGGCAGCCTATAAATGAAGTTACAGGGTTCCAGATGTAGTAGCGCATGCTGCCAACAAGTTGGCAGGCTCTATACTATAAGATAGAAGCTCTGGTATGCTATAGCTCATGCTGCCAACAAGTTGGCAGGCTCTACACTATAGAACAGATGCTCTGGTATACAATAGCTCATGCTGCCAACAAGTTGGCAGCCTATAAGTGAAGTTACACGGTTCCAGATGTAGTAGCTCATGCTGCCAACAAGTTGGCAGGCTCTATACTATAAAATAGAAGCTCTGGTATGCTATAGCTCATGCTGCCAACAAGTTGGCAGCCTATAAATGAAGTTACAGGGTTCCAGATGTAGTAGCTCATGCTGCCAACAAGTTGGCAGGCTCTATACTATAAAATAGAAGCTCTGGTATGCAATAGCTCATGCTGCCAACAAGTTGGCAGCCTATTACAGGGTTCCAGTTGTAGTAGCTCATGCTGCCAACAAGTTTGCAGGCTCTACGCTACAAAATAGAAGCTCTGGTGTGGAATAGCTCATGCTGCCAACAAGTTGGCAGGCTCTATACTATAAAATAGAAGCTCTGGTATACTATAGCTCATGCTGCCAACAAGTTGGCAGCCTATAAGTGAAGTTACAGGGTTCCAGATGTAGTAGCTCATGCTGCCAACAAGTTGGCAGGCTCTATACTATGAAATAGAAGCTCTGGTATGCTATAGCTCATGCTGCCAACAAGTTGGCAGTCTATTACAGGGTTCCAGATGTAGTAGCTCGTGCTGCCAACAAGTTGGCAGGCTCTACGCTACAAAATAGAATGTCTGGTATGCTATAGCTCATGCTGCCAACAAGTTGGCAGCCTATAAGTGAAGTTGCAGGGTTCCAGATGTAATAGCTCATGCTGCCAACAAGTTGGCAAGCTCTAAGTTTAGAAGTTAGCAGTACTTTATTCGCCAAAGAAAATACTTACATAACGTTTTTTTCTAGTTTCGCAACATTTTCTTCCCGCACCATTAATTTTTCCTCATTTTCAACTTTAAATTTGTCAAATTCCTTATTAACCCTTTCAAATTGAAGTTGTAAGCTATCAAATTTTCGATTCGCTTCGGCTTGTAGAAGTCGCGCTTGAACCACATCCGATGACAAGCGAGAAATGACGGCTTTATCATCCCCCGCCGCTTGTAAATCTAAAATTTGATGTTTTAAACTTAAAATTTCAAATTCATAAGCTGCCGTTGAGCTTTTCCAGTTTTTCTCATATTTCTCGTCTATTTCATTTTTGAATTTAATCTCGTTTAAATTTTTTTTTAAAACGTCAATTTCAATTAAAGCGTTTTCATATTTTTTTTTTAAATCGTCGTCGTTTTCGAAAAAGGGTTCGATTAAAATTTGATTTTGCCCGTTTTTTATGGTTTCTTGGAGCTTTAAATTTTTCTCCATAATCTCTTTATTATACTTTTCAAAATCGTGGAGTCTCTCTTCGCTATTTTTAAGTTGCTCTTTAACCAATTCGTATAAATTGTTCATATGATTCGCTCTTTGCCGCTCGGTTATCTCATTTATTTCGCATTGGGAAAGTTTTTTCGTTAACATCTCAATGTTTTTGTCGATTTCAACTAATTTTGAAGCCTCAAATGAATTAATTTTGATTAATAAATCTTGAGTTTTCTCTAAAATCGTTAGTTTTTCTTCTTTTAAATTTTTTATGATCACATTTAATGCTTGTAATTCTCGATTTTCGTTTGATTTAATCGTAGAAATTTCCCCTAATAATCCTCGATGTTTAATCGTTAAATCATCAAAATTATTTTGTAACTTTAGAAATAAGTTTAAATCAATTTTGTTTTTTAATTCCACTTCAAGGCGGGTTATTTTATTCAACAACGAATCGTTTATTTCGTTCGTTAATTTAACACTCTTCATCAAATCAATTTCATTTTTTAACGAATCACTTTTTAATCGGTCAATATCCCCCAAGTACTTTTCATTTTCATTTTTTAAATACAACGTTTTTCTGTTTAAGATCACAACTTCTCCAGCTAACTCAGAGACTTGTTTAATTTTGAATGCGTCATTTTCACTTAGATGAAACTTTTTTATTTCTTCTAATTTTTTTTCTAAAACTTCAACCTTTTCACTTAAATCGTCAGCGGTATCTGATAACATTAACTTTTCATTTTCCCAATTCAATTTTGCCTCATTATATTCTTTAGATAACGAATTTAATTTTTCTTCAACTTCTTCAAAATTGATTTTATTTTTCTCTATTAACACATCATTTTGACTTGTTTGCCCATCACTTTCTTTCAAATCATTTGAAATAACCTCTTTATTATCGCCTGTTAATTTAATTTCTTTATTTATATAATTTGTATTTGGTTCCGAAGCTTTTTTTAGGGCTATTTTTAATTGTTCTCGTAATTCCTTATTAGATCCTTGTAAAGTATGAATTTCAGCTTGCAATCTCATCCCAGAGTGATACCATCCAGAAATATGTTTCGAATCGAGTGCTTTTAAAAGATTTTCCAACGTTTCCGAATTAATTTCTCGATATCCTTTATCTGAATCATAAAAAGATTATTATTATACTTTATTTTTTAATTCGGAGGAGTTAAATTTAAAGTCACGTTTACACAAGTATTTAATTTTTTACTTCAAAATTGGTGAAAATTAAAAAATATATACAATTAACAAGTATACATAACAATTATGATATATTACGATTTTATTTAATTGTATCTACCTATATTTTTATATACAGGGTGGTCCATTACTAATGGGACACGGAGGAATATTGAATGCCTTACATTACATTGTTACGATTTAACCAATTTATGGACTAACATAAATTGGGTTGAATCATCGTATCATAGTATTCAGCAAACCTTTTCATTTGATTGGAATGTAAATGACGGAATTACAGCTTGCTGCATTCTTGTGTGACAACCCGTATATGTACAGGTGGCTTTTCTCTGCTAAACTTCTGTACATCAATGGATTCAGAAAAACAATTTCTATCCAATGAGGTAAAGAAAAATATACGCAGCTATTTGAAAAATTTGTTAATAATCGTTTAAAATTGAATATGGAAAAAAATTATTTGTAGCATGAATCATAGTATTTATAAAACCATTTCATTTGATATCTAGGTCATGAAAATCGGAATGTAAATAACAGAGTTATAGCTTGGGGCGTTTTTTATGTGACACCCTGTATAAAAGAAGTGTAATGGAAAAAATTAATTAAATTCGCCTATGTGCGACTGGTAGATAAGTAGGTAGCACTAGTTAGCATAAAATATCACTATGTTGCATATTTTTATTGAACTAAAACTAGAACTAGAAAATTTCGGGTGCGCCTAAAAGTAATTTTGATGTTTTTTGAAAGAGTTTAGACACACGACTAAAAAAAAAACTTTCAGGTGTTAATGTCAACTTTAATTTTATTATTATATTCGTAATCTTTATAAAATAACCTTTAAAATGAGTACAAACATGACGCACTTATCTCAAAAAACAAAAAAGTTTGAATAAAAAAACATTAAACCCGAAGTTAGCAACCATGAAGTTAGCAATTTTATCTTTAAATATTAATACCAACCTTAATTTTTTATTATATTTTTGTTATTGTGACAAATATTAAGACATTTTATAAAATATTAAGAATATGTCAAAATGACATTGACATTTCAAACCGGAAGTTACGTATATCTCGAGTAATATTGGAATGAATGTAATATTGGACGTATCACTTGGACCCATTTTAAAGGATTTTTCACGATTATAAATAATAAATAAAAATGCAAATATGTCAAAATTGAGGTTGACATTTCTAACCGGAAGTTGACCATAACTTCATTAATATTGAAGATAAATATCGTGTTTGTACTCATTTTAAAGGATTTTTAATGAAGATTACAAATATGTCAAAATTGAGGTTGACATTTTACACCTGAAGTTAGTTATCATATAATAAGCAAATAGACAACTTCATGGTGTTCTTTTATGATGCATTCTTTATTACTTCTTGAGGTTGAGTTGCATTTTCTGTTTCTAAATCGGTATGTCTCTGAATCGTTACATTAGAATCATCGGTTATTTGTTTCTCACTCGTGTTTTCGTGAATAATCATTGAATCAAAAGCCTATAGTCAAAATATCATAACGTTTTAATCGCCTATAATGAATGGCTTCTTTCATTTTCCACCAAAATTCTCCACATTGATGCATCTGGGAGCAAAAATGTTACAGACCATTGTGTTAAGGGGTTTCAACTTTTAATTTTGACATATTTGTCAACTTCATAAAAAAATCCTTTAAAATGAGTCCAAACTCGACATATTTAACTTTAATATTAATGGAAATACAATCACTTCCGGTTTGAAACGTCAACGTCAATTTTAACATATTTATCCTCTTCATTAAAAAACGTTTAAAATGAGTCCAAAGATGACGCATTTATCTCAAAAAACAAAAAAGTTAGAATAAAAAACATTAAACCCGAAGTTGCCAATAATGAAGATAGCAATTTTATCTTTAAATATTAATACCAACCTTAATTTTTTATTATATTTTTGTTTTTGTGACAAATATTAAAACATTTTATAAAAAATTAAGAATATGTCAAAATGACATTGACATTTCAAACCGGAAGTTGCTTATATCTCGAGTAATATTGGAATTAAACCTATCATGTTTGGGCTCATTTTAAAGGATTTTTCACGATTACAAATATGTCAAAATTGAGGTTGACATTTCTAACCGGAAGTTGACCATAACTTCATTAATATTGAAGATAAATATGTCGTGTTTGTACTCATTTTAAAGGATTTTTAATGAAGATTGCAAATATGTCAAAATTGAGGTTGACATTTTACACCTGAAGTTAGTTATCATATAATAAGCAAATAGACAACTTCATGGTGTTCTTTTATGATGCATTCTTTATTAGAAAAACCTTTAAAATGTGAACAAACATGATGCATTTATCTCTAAAAATAAAAAAGAGAATAAAAAACATTAACCATGAATGTTTTTAGTTCTCGGTCTAGTGTTAGTTTTAGTTTTACACTAGCACTATCACTAGAACTAACACAAGACCTAGAACTAGAATCATTCGGGTTTAGCCGTCTTGAAAGACTTGCGGCTAAACCCAAATGTTTCTAGTTCTAGGTCTTGTGTTACTTCTAGTAGCAGGTGGTAGGTAGCGCTAGTTGGCATACTATATCACTATGTTACATATTTTTATTGAACCAAAACCAGAACTAACACTAGACCTACAATTAGAAAGTTTCGGGTTTAGCCGTGCGCCTAAAAGTAATTTTGATTAAACGATAAATTGAACTAGAGGTGTTGTTATATGAAAGGTTTTTTAAAAAAAGACCACTTTTCCTCCGTAATTGTTATAAATTAATCAATCTGAGACGTTTCGGGAACAGCTCCCATCTTCAGTCCACAAATAGTCACTCGTAATATTATCTACAAAAAAACCATTTCATAATTTTCAAAACCATTCGACACCGATTAATTTTTGTATTTTTTTGTGGGGTTTGAGATTTTTATGGTCTTTTGTTGTGGTTTTTTTGTAGATAATATTACGAGTGACTATTTGTGGACTGAAGATGGGAGGTGTTCCCGAAACGTCTCAGATTGATTAATTTATAACAACTACGGAGGAAAAGTGGTCTTTTTTTAAAAAACCTTTCGTAATTTTGATGTTTTTTGAAAGATTGTTGAATATGTGAATCCATAATTTTAACCAGTGCGATGAATAAATAAAATACAAAAGAAATGTTTTACAACTGGTTTATTTTAAATATTATAAATATTATGGGTCAACGTGGCTCCCTCATTTTCTTAGTGTATTCTATAGATGTATTTTTATACATTTCTGTTATCAGCAACTTTATTGCATGTTAATCTTCGTGTGTCAATCTTTTATTTTATGATATCTACCTCCAATGATGGTCCCTTAGAGACCGAAACATGTCAGGTTGATATAATATTTAAAATAAACCAGTTGTAAAACATTTCTTTTAGATTTTATTTTTTGAAAGAGTTTCGACGCATGACTAAGAAAAAAACTTTCAGGTGTTAATGCCAACTTTAATTTTATTATTATATTCGTAATCTTTATAAAATAACCTTTAAAATGAGGCCAAACATGACGCACTTATCTCAAAAAACAAAAAAGTTAGAATAAAAAACATTAAACCCGAAGTTAGCAACAATGAAGATAGCAATTTATTTTTTAAATATTAATACCAACCTTAATTTCTTTTTTTTTATTACATTTTTGTTTTTGTGACAAATTTTAAGACATTTTATAAAAATTAAGAATATATCAAAATGACATTGACATTTCAAACCGGAAGTTGCTTACATCTCGAGTAATATCGGAATTAAACGTATCATTTGGGCTCATTTTAAAGGATTTTTCACGATTACAAATATGTCAAAATTGAAGTTGACATTTCTAACCGGAAGTTGACCATAACTTCATTAATATTGAAGATAAATATGTCGTGTTTGTACTCATTTAAAAGGATTTTTAATGAAGATTACAAATATGTCAAAATTGAGGTTGACATTTTACACCTGAAGTTAGTTATCATATAATAAAGAAATGGACAAACTTCATGGTGTTCTTTCATGATGTATTCTTTATTAAAAAAACCTTTAAAATGTGTCCAAATATGATGCATTTATCTCAAAAAACAAAAAAGAATAAAAAACATTAAACCCGAAGTTAGCAACAATGAATATAGCAATTTAATTTTTAAATATTAATACCAACCTTAATTTTTTATTTTTTTCAATTATTTTTTTGTTTTTGTAACAAATTTTAAGACATTTTATAAAAATTAAGAATATATCAAAATGACATTGACATTTCAAACCGGAAGTTGCTTATATCTCGAGTAANCAGTGGTTGTTTAGGAATTTTCGCCGTTAGATGGCGATGTCGGTTGTGGGAAATCTGTTCGTTTCCAGTGAAGATCGGATCGTTTCGGGTGGAAAACCAAGAGGCACTAAATAACAAGTAAAACTAGAACTAACACTAGACCTAGAATTAGAAAGTTTGGGGTTTAGCCGTGCGTCTTCAGACGCACGGCTAAACCCGAATGTTTCTAATTCTAGGTCTAGTGTTAGTTCTAGTTTTGCACTTCCGCTGTTACTATGCAGATTTAGCCGTCTAAAGAGACGTAGGTCTTGTGTTCGTTCTAGTGGCAGTGATAGGTAGCGCTAGTTAGCATAAGATATTACTATCACAAATTTTCCAAGTGCCAAGTAGCGCGGTTCATGAAGCCTGTGTATTCGAACTATCCAAGCCAAAATGGCGGTTTGACAGCTTGCCAGTGCATATCACCATTTATTAAAATATTAATAATAAATAATGATAAATAATAATATTAATATTAAATAGCAGTAAGAAGGGATTTCAACTCTTTAGAGTACCACGAGAAAAAAAGATACTAATATAAATAGTTTTAAATTTCCCGCTTGATTTCGAGCCAAAATGGCGGCAAATCACGGTACTTTTTAACCAATAGCAACCCTTCTTTTTGGCGCTTAAATTCGAAAACACTCCTCCGAATAAAAAAGTATAATATACTTAATTTAAATTAATAATTTACCTTTTCTTTGTTGCAAACTCTCCAAAATCTCATGTAATCCTCTCCGTAACGCTTCATTTTCCTCAACAACAACTTCATGAGATTCTTTTGTAACATTTTCACAAATTTCATTTTCATCAAAAAGAATCTCCCCCACGTTTAATTCGTTAAGTTTTTTAGTTAATTCATTAATAATTTTGCTTTGATTTTGATTTTTACATCGTAAACTAACTTTTTCCTCCTCCATTTTAACCATTTTTACTTTTAAATCGTCAATTTTCCTCTCTAACTTCTTCGTTTTTATCTCAATACTCGTCACTGCGACGTTATCTTCCTCGTTTAATCCCAACCTCGATCTTAATTCGACATTTTCTTTTTGAAATCGTTCAAAATTTTCTTGCAAATTATTCCCATCTCGTACTAATTCGGCGATTTCTTTATCTTTTTGACGTTTTTGAAGCTTTAATTTTTGGTACTTTTCCAAAAAGACTCCAAAATCAACATTTTCGTTTTTATACTTATTAATCATCTCGTTAACGTCGTCATCTTTTTCCGTTAACGCTTTGGTTAAGTAATTTATTTCTTCTTGTAAATTTTGAGTGCGTAAATGAGAGGATTTTAATTTTTGTTTTAATTCTTTATTAAAATCTTTATTTTCAATTAATTTTTTATCCAAATCCTCTTTTTCTTCTCTTAATTTGTTTAAAATCTCCGCAATTTCATTCATATCAATGGTGGCTTTTTCTAATTGACTTTGTAAATCATTAATTTTTAAATCTCGCTCGAAAATAATTTTATTTAAAACAAATTCATTTCCATCTCGAAAAGTATCACTTATCTCAGAAAATTCTTCCTTTTCCTTTAAAATTTTACGTTTTAACTCGAAAATTTCCTCATTTTTTTCATCCAAAACCCTTTTCCATTCATCAACTCTCTTATCAATAGCCAAAGCAAAATCTTCAAGTTGCTTTTTTAATTCCACATTTTCCAAAGTTAATTCTTCAATTTCATTTTTTAAACAATCATTCTCCTTCATTAACTCATTCATTTTGATATGTTCCTCCTCAAATTTAACATTACTTGCTAAAAACTCCTTCGTCATTTCGTTTATTTGTTTTGTTGCATCCTCCAATTTATCTTTAACAACTAAAATTTGCTCCTTTAATTGCAAATTTTCACCCTCCACCATCTCAATATCATTTAAAAGTTGGGAAATTTGATTGTTTTTGTGCCTAATTGTTCCAATTAACTCTTTATGTTGATCTTTAGTATTTTCTGATAACTCAGATTGAACATCATCCTTTTGCAAACTCTCCAACTCATTTTGAAGATGATTTCGATCCTTTTCTAAAACTTTAATGTGCTGGTTCAACTTGGTTATTTCATTTTTTAACTTCTCATTCGATTTATTTTGTTGTTTCAACTTTCCTTTTAATTCACGATATTTTTCCTCAAGCTCATCATAATCCAAAGAACTCGACTTTTTTGATTTTTGACTTTTTAATGAATCTAATTCGGATTTTTTGAGCTCATCTTCAGCTTGCTTTTTAGCCAAATCATCTAATTCTGCTATCAAAACTTCAACCTAAAATACTTAATCATTTTTATGATTATACATAAATAATATTTAAACAAACCTGTTCAGATTTAAATTTCATAATTTCTTGGGTTATTTTAAATAAAACCAAACATTTTTCTAAATCAACTTCTTCAACATCAATATCATACCAAGCTAACGTATTCAACAAAGCATCTTTTTCATTATCTTCGATTTTATTCGGTTTTATTGAATAAATATAATTCCAATCCATTTTAAAACACTTCTCAACTAACCAAAAATCTTTAATATTGTGACATTTGTTTTGTTTACAAAGTTGGTTGCTAAGCAACGATGTTTGTGTGTATCAAGTTTCGATTGACACATTTTTAAAATAACCTCTATAATTTTATAATTAATTAATTAAATATAATTAATTTCAAATTTCATCAAAATTTTATTATTACAACCTTTGTTATTAATCACAACACCATTTTAAAAAATTAACTTATAATAATTTATGTAACCCAATAATCTTATGACTTTCTTAACACTTAGGAATGTTCGTTAACGAGTTAAAATCTGTTCTGAAAATAGCCTAAGCGCACGGTTAACAGACGGCAAAGGTCGTTCGTTTTTTTAGTGTCGAGTTCGCGTTGTTTGTTCGCGGTTATGATGGCTTTAAATAAGTTAAGTTTCGAGTGTTTAAGAAGTGTAAAAAATGGATTATTTAAAGATGCGAGGGTATTACAGGTAGCTAGGGTTAAAATGAGTCATTTTACGTATATGCCCGACGCAAAACCACCTGTTGGAGGTAATAAAATCAATATCAATAATAACGTAATTTGGGTTGCCTACCTTAAAGTGCAAAAAATTTTTTTTAGGTGAAATGTTAAAAATGAATATGTTCCAAGCGATTAATAATGCTTTAGATTTAGCATTAAAAACGGACGATTCAGCGATAATTTTTGGCGAGGATGTAGCTTTTGGAGGGGTTTTTAGATGTTCAATAGGTTTACAAAAGAAATATGGTCCGGAGAGGGTGTTCAATACCCCATTGTGTGAACAAGGTATTATCGGATTTGCTATTGGGGCAGCCAGTGCAGGTGCTACTTCAATTGCGGAGATTCAATTCGCAGATTATATTTTCCCAGCTTTCGATCAAGTAAAAAAAATTTAATTTTATTTATTACCTATTAAATGTTATTAATTCAGATAGTTAACGAAGCCGCTAAATATCGTTATAGAAGCGGAGACCAATTTGATTGTGGAAAATTAACGATTCGAGCACCTTGCGGGGCTGTCGGACATGGTGCTTTGTACCACTCACAAAGTCCTGAAGCTTATTTCGCTCATACACCTGGTATAAAGGTTAATATTTGATTGAAAATTAACTACTTTTTATAACTAAAAATATGATAACAAGGTTGTGGTACCACGCGGTCCAATAAAGGCCAAAGGACTGCTATTAGCATGCATTAGAGACCCAGATCCCTGTTTAATTTTCGAACCTAAATGCATGTATCGTGCTGCGGTAGAACAGGTGCCGGTTGGCGATTATATTTCTCCAATTGGAAAAGCAGATGTTCTCAAAAAAGGTTAGTTTTTTAATACTTGACAGTTTTAATTAATAAAATGACATTTAAAATGGCGCCATCTATCGGTTTTAGTACAAACGATACATTTATAATTACTTGAATTAAATGAATACGTATTAATTAAATTAACATATACTCTCTGGAATGTATCAAAATCGGATAAAAAGAACAATTTATCACACTATTTAATTATAATTACGACGTTAATTTACTATTTTTAATTAATAAAATGACATTTAAAATTGCGCCATCTATCGGTTTTAGTACAAACGATACATTTATAAGTACTTAAATTAAAGGAATACGTATTAAATTATTAATTAAATTAACGTATACTTTCTGAAATGTAACAAAATCAGATGAAAAGAACAATTTATCATACTATTTAATTAAGATCAGTTAATTTAACATTTTAATGATTAAAATGACAATTAAAATAGGGCCATCTATCGGTTTTAGTATAAACGATATATTTATAATTATTTGGATTAGATAAATACGTATTAAATTATTAATTAAATTAATATATACTTTCCGGAATACAACAAAATCAAATGAAAATAAACAATTTATTATATTATTCAATTATGATCAGGGCGTCAACTTAATATTTTTAATTAATATGACAATTAAAATAGGGCCATCTATCGGTTTTAGTACAAACGAAATATTTATAATTATTTGGATCAGGTAAATATGTATTAAATCATTAATTAAATTAACATACAATCTCCGGAATGCAACAAAATCAGATGAAAAACAATTTATCACACTATTTAATTATGATCACCACGTTAATTTAATATTTTTAATTAATAATATGACATTTAAAATTGCGCCATCTATCGGTTTTAGTACAAACGTTATATTTATAATTATTTGGATTAGATAAATACGTATTAAATTATTAATTAAATTAACATACACTTTCCGGAATGCAACAAAATCAGATGAAAAAACAATTTATTACTCTATTTAATTATGACCACCACGTTAATTTAATATTTTTAATTAATAAAATGACAATTAAAATAGGGCCATCTATCGGTTTTAGTACAAACGATATATTTATAATTATTTGGATTAGATAAATACGTATTAAATTATTAATTAAATTAACATACACTCTCCGGAATGTAACAAAATCAGATAAAAAGAACAATTTATCACACTATTTAATTATGACCACCACGTTAATTTAATATTTTTAATTAATAAAATGACAATTAAAATAGGGCCATCTATCAGTTTTAGTATAAACGATATATTTATAATTACTTAAATTAAATGAATACGTTTTAAAGTTAATTAAAATAACATATACTCTCTGGAATGTAACGAAATCAAATGAAAAGAACAATTTATCATACTATTCAATTATGATCAGGACGTTATTTATTATTTTTAATTTATAAAATGACATTTAAAATAGCGCCATCTATCGGTTTTAGTAGATACATTTATAATTACTTGAATTAAAGGAATACGTTTTAAATTATTAATTAAAATAACATATATTCTCTGGAATGTAACGAAATCAGATGAAAAGAACAATTTATCATACTATTCAATTATGATCAGGACGTTAATGTAATATTTTTAATTAATAAAATGACAATTAAAATGGGGCCATCTATCGGTTTTAGTACAAACGATACTTTTATAATTATTTGAATTAGATGAATACGTATTAAATTATTAATTAAATTAATAATGCAACAAAATCAGATGAAAAGAACAATTTATCATACTATTTAATTCCGATCATGACGTCAATTTAATATTTTTAATTAATAAAATGACGTTTACAATGTCGCCATCTATCGGTTTTAGTACAAACGATGCCCTTATAATTACTTGAATTATGTATTAAATTATTAATTAAATTAATATATACTCTCATTTATCATACTCTAATTATAATTTCAGTATTTCAGAAGAAGTCTTTTTGATCTACTCCCCGTAGCTTTAAATTTGTGTGCTCGATACCCATTTTAACATAGTTTTTGTTCGTAAAATGATTTATTTACAACTTATAAGGTGTAATTAAAATTTTTACATTGTAACGTACCCGCATTAGGCAATTTAATCGGATACCGCAATCTATTCGTTTTTTTGTTCTTTATGTAGCCCGCGCGAAATTGACGCTTTAAGCGTTTCGCCTGCGGAATGAACACTTTTGCAACAAGAATATACCATGTGTTTCGTTGTGTAACACATCGATATCGTTCCTAGTTTTTATGCAAATTCCAATCTTCTTAAACACTGTTTTTCGTTTAAATGAATCGATTAAGAAAAAAGAAATTCCTTTGTTATTATTTTTATTTTTTGTTATAAGGTGATAAAATAACTTTGATTGGTTGGGGAACCCAAGTTCATGTTCTTCTCGAAGTTGCGCAACTCGCCAAAGAAAAATTTAATATTTCTTGTGAAGTTATTGATTTAGTTTCGATCGTTCCTTGGGATAGAGATACGATAATTGAGGTAAAATGATTAATTAATCGATTAAATAGAAATAAATAAAATTTATTTTCTTTTAAGTCGGTTAAAAAGACGAAAAGGGCTTTAGTTGCACACGAAGCACCTCTCACCGGTGGGTTTGGGGCTGAATTAGCTGCAGCTATTCAGGTAAATATTAAAATAATCTTAATTAAATTAATTAATTGAATTAATTTTAGGAAGATTGTTTCTTACATTTAGAGGCTCCTGTTGCAAGAATAACCGGGTTTGACACTCCGTTTCCCCATATTTTCGAACCCTTTTATTTACCCGATAAATGGCGTTGTTTGCAAGCGATAAAAGATTTAATCGATTATTAATTTATTTAAAAAGAATTATGTAACAGATTAAAAATTGAGGAAAGTGATGATTCAAAAAAGGAGTTTTCTTTTTTATTGAACAAAAAAAAGTTTCCTCCGTTTAATCACCTTTGAAAGGAAGGAGAAACTATCGCGGTTATCGTTAGAGATCGTTTCCTGTTGCTGTTTAAAATTCTTCAAATAAAATACAACTTCCTTTATCCCGCAAATCTTTCTTAAAATAGAATTAAAAGAAAAATCTTCTATATAAAGTCGGATTTTGAATTAGAAGAACTGAAAGCTAAACAACGACGAGAAGATGTCGTTGTCGAGTATAAAAAGTGGCTCAACGATGGTAATTGCTTAATAGATTCCTTTAAATGTCAACTGGATGTAATTTTCAGGTTTCATTCCTAACAAATTAGTAATCACATCGCTTTTTTTTTTCTTCGATACAAAATAACGCTGAATAACAACTTAAACTAGAACTAACACTACATCTAGAACTAGAAATATTCGGGTTCGGAAAAATATACAAGTCTTACCCAATCTAGCGACAACCATTTATGTATATTAAGTTTAAATCTTAAAAATTATTAAATTTTGGGAAAAACTAAGTTTAATTGAGCAAAAATCCTCTTCAGAATACGTTTTTGGGCACTCAACTAAAACATAACCTAACTTTTATCTGTCACTTTAAAATTTTTGAGGAATTAATTTATTTTTTAGAAAAAAACTTAATAATAAATGAGTTTTTTAAGATAATAAGGAAAAATTAATCTTCATTCAGGTAAAGATTTCAAACTTTTATAAGTATTAACTTTTTATCTTAAAAAATTCCTTCTTTTCTAAATAGTTGTTAACCCCATCTAGCGACAACGATCCATATTAATTCAGTTTTGACATTTAATCCCTACGATGACATTTCTTGAAAAAATTATTAAATTTTGCCAAAGATTAAGTTTAATTGAGCCAAAATGCACATCATAATACGTTTTTAGGCTCTCAAACTAATCATTTATAGTGATTATGGACTCTAAGAAGTGATTTTTCCCCAAAATGGAAGAAGAAAGGAAAACATAATCTAACTTTTATCTGTCACTTTCAAATTTTTTAGGATTTAATATATTTTTTAGAAATTTATTAATAAATAATTTTTTTAAGATAATAAGGAAACATTAATCTTCATTCAGGTAAAGATTTCAAACTTTTATAATTATTAACTTTTTATCTTAAAAAATTCCTTCTTTTCTAAATAGTTGTTAACCCCATCTAGCGACAACGATCCATATTAATTCAGTTTTGACATTTAATCCCTACGATGACATTTCTTGCTAAAATTATTAAATTTTGCCAAAAAATAAGTTTAATTGAGCTAAAATCCACATCAGAATACGTTTTTGGGCTCTCAAACTAATCAATTAAAGTGATTATGGACTCTAAGAAGTGATTTATCTCAGAAATTAAAGAAGAAACGAAAACATAACCTAACTTTTAATAACATTCATATGAGGTACGTTATATCGAAGTTTGTATATAAAAAATGTTAATTCTTTCGGCGTCGAAGGTTAAAACGCTTTCTTCAACTCCTTCCCCGTAGAAAAAAAATGAAAACAAAATGCGCAACATTAAAATAGATCGCAACACGATCGATTTCTTGAAATGCACGGCCGTTAATCGCATTGAAGCGCGAACGACGTGAGTCGAATTTAAGTTAATTAGGTCCCCCTTATAATTTAACATTGAGAATTAAAAAACGGATTTAAATTGTAAATTTGAAAACTGTATAAGAAATATTTAGATAATATAAGGCGAGAAAATCTCAAGGTCTTTTGATTCGGCCTTGAACTTTCTCCAAGGCGTGGCCCCCCTTTTTTTTTAACACGGGGCTCTTATTTACTAACGCGAGAGACTTTTGCGTCGCCGACTACAGCGGGAGAATCCAGGACAGTTCTGCGATAATTGACTGAGGTTGTTTGCTTTTTTATTTTGCTTCCGCGCAACAAGAACCGGAGCTCCATTTCGCGTAGATCCGGGAGCTAAAAACGGATCTAAAGAATTCACGGAACTCCTTAACGAAAAAAAAGTCTTCTCCGGTTTGGTTTTTAAACGTGTTTAATTAATGAAGTCTTTAATTTTATATAAAATGAAGAAACCTCAAAAACTAATTTCAAATCGATTGAAAGTTTCGCTTTCAAAAGGGATTTTTTGCTTATTTGGCACAAGGTCCTTGTTGTCGAAGAAAGAGAGAGAAGGCGCACCTCTGACCTTGCTCATCGATGCTCAAGAATTCGCCTGACATTTCTATTGGTGTTAATTCAAACCCTTTTACCTTCCATTCAAATTACAATCACCTCAAAAGTTCTTTTAAATTGTTACACTAAAGAAATAACATTTATTTTTTGGTTTTTTAATATTTATTAAGGGCAATTTCATTTTTTCTTTATCTGATTTTAATAAAGAACGTCCACTAAACGTAATAGATCACGGTCAACCATCTCATCAAGTGAAGGAGCGGCGAAGAATGCACGATGTCATCAGCTGTTACTTCTTCAATTCTCGGCAGATGGTCCAAGGACCTATTTGGTTATTTGTCTTAAGTTTTTATAAATTAAATAGAAAGGATTTTAATTTTTTTCTCCATCGATAATCAATTTTTAAAGCAACTTAGTTGCAGACTTGGTTTTTGAGGTTTACTGATTATTTTATTTTAATTAAAAAAGAAAATATGTTTGTTCCCTTATTATTATGTTATTATTTCTTTTTCGTTTCGGTTCTTATTATTACGTTTGTGGTAAAGTTATGGTCTAAATTTAAAATTAGATATCCGCCCAACATTTATTTTATTATCGCTAATCCCCAATTAGTGTTTAGCGAGGTGATAAACCGGTTTTCAATTTTGCATTTTGCGTCCCAAATCATTAATTAATTTACTAGGTCGAATTATTATTAATTATATTCATTTTACGTTATTTAAAAAAAAAGAACTTGTTATGTAAAGTGTATTTAAAAGAAAAGGTTAAAAGTTTGCAATGTATTTTATGACGGCGGTATTAAACGATAAATTATTAATAAACAGAATCATTAAACGCCAAGAAAAAAAGTAATCATTGCGGTTATGCTAATCAATATAAAAGATTATATTTTTTTAAGTTATTTATTAAATTTTATTTTTAGAGGTTATTATAACGTCAAAGAGGGAGGATATATTTTATCTATAGCCGAATTATGGACCTACATTTGCATTTCATATAACCATAATTACGAAACTAAAAAAAATATATTGTTTTCTCAAAAACTAAAAATTATTTTTCAAAACGGGTTGGTTCATTGGAAAGAGGATACTTTTATTAACAATTTGAGAAATTTTCATACTCCTATTCCAAGAAATGGATTTTATATGAATTTTTAAAACTTAATCGGCGAAAATTGCAAGAAAAAATTGTCGATTATTTCAAAAATTTATTTCTCAAGAACTAAAAGCGATTTTTCTAAACGGCTTTTTGCATTAAAAAGAGGATACTTTAATTAATAATTGGTGATATTTCCACAAAGATCCTTCAAGAAACTAATTTTATAGCGAATTTTGAAAGTTTTCAAAATTTACGATGCTTTATATTAAAAAAAATCGATTTTTTATAATTTTCCTTAAAATAAGATGGAATGAAAAGTATAAAAAAGTACACAGTTGTTTGAAAAAAAAAATTGTTTTTGAGATATGAGATGGCGCAAAAATGCACCACTGGTAAGATAAATGAACAACACACAAAAATTTTGGTTATCATTTATTAATTAAGTAACCAAATAAAGATACAACATAAAACTAACAAATACCAACTTTAGTATGAAGTTTAAGATAAAAAATATTTATACTAAAATTGTTGCAAAAACGCACCAATGGGAAGAAGAAGAAAACAATATTTATTTGGACTTATATAAAAATAATAACAAATACGAAAAGAAATACATATATAAAACAAATCATACAAAATAAGTCTTCCTGCCCGTGACTTTGAATTCGGTTTAGTTGTACTTAGGTCTTCTCAGTTGGGCCTTATTTTTTTAAGCAGTGTGAGCCGTGTTATGGGACAGTGGGTAAGGCAGAGGGGAGTGATGATGAAATTTTATTGTGCGTTTTTGGGGAAGTTCATAATTGCTTTAAGGGATAAGGATTGTAGACGGGAGTTTATACGCTCGACGCTTCAGTCATGATTAATGAGGCATATTCGATTATAGGTCGGCATATTGAGGTGTATATGTGAGTAGCGCATTTGGTGGATATTCCTCGGACTCTATATGAGAGTGAGCGGAAGTGTTTGGCGCAGTTTTTGACTTTCATTTTTACTTTGATGGCGTGGGCAGAGAATTTAAGGGTTCTATCCAAGGTAATGTCGAGGTAGTTGCAAGTTGGTGAAGCTGTGATAGGAGAAGATTGAATTATTATTGTGGGAGGAGCAAAGCGAATAGGGAGGAAGGAGATGAAGAATTGGGTTTTAGAAGGATTCATCAGGATACGCCATTTTCGTTACCATTCCTCTATGTTTTGGATGAGCGTCTGAAGTCTTAGGATTGATGATGGAATGTCTACATCATATGCGACGAGAGTAGTATCATCGGTTGTCGTTGTAGATGTCATGGCAGTAGACGTTGTACAGTGCTGGCGAGATGGGAGAGCCTTGAGGCAGACCTTGTTGAGCGGTGAAACTGAAAGAGTGGTAGTTTTTCACTTTAACCAATGAGGAGCGGTCTGAAAGAAATTTTTTTAGTAAGTTAAGGAGATAAGATGGGACTTTCAACATAGCTAGCTTGTACAGTAGACCTCTGTGCCATACGAAGTCGAATGCCTTCCGAACATCCAAGAAGACTGCGGCGGATTGTTGTTTTTGGTAACGTGCCACTTGGAAGTTTGAGACAAGCACTGCCAAGGGATGAGATGTAGATCTACCTTGTTGGAATCCTCCTTGCAACAACATCGAGCACCAATGGGATTTATAGTAATACTTCGCAAAGCACTCTTCATGTAAATGAACGCTAAACTTACTACACATATATTGACACACCATGTCCATAAACGACTATTTTCAGGGAATTCACCGAATAAATGCGTCTAAACTGGTTTCTGATAATACGAAAGATAATGTAATCTTTATATCTCATCAATCATCCCAATGGTATGTTTTTGCACCATTAATGTTTCAAGACGTATTTTCAGAATTCATATTTTTATTTCGCGTTTCAAGATATATATGAGAATAGTATGCACTAAAAACTTCAAATGTCGAAATTTTAAAGAATTTTATGCACTAAAAATAGTTTTATTTATTGTATATTTTGAACAGAAATGTTCAACAGAAAAGAATTGATGCAAATATGGTTTAAATAGCAAGAATTATGAAATATTTTGATATGTATAGCCTAACAAACTTATAGTGTTATCGTACAAACAGCTAGCACCTTGAAATCCGGCAATGTATGGCTGGAAAATAATTTTAAAAACGTGAAGTGAAGTGGTGTGAGACCAAGTAGGGCTTCAAGAGCAGCCGTCGGACAAGATCTTATTGCACCCGTTATGTTAAGACATGCTAACCGCTAGATTTGTGCCAGCTATTGTTGTGCTATCTTTTTGATTTGTTTTTGGCCACCAAACCAGTGAGGCATAGACGAGGATAGGCCCAGTTGGCCATTCGTGGTTTAAGACCCCAGGTCCTTCCAAGCAGCCTGCGGCAGATCTGATTAGCCATACTGGCTTTTTTCCTCACCAAGTCTATGGTGAGGTATTTGACTTCTGTTTTGAGGTTAGTAGTTCTGCCTTCAATGAAGGGTGCTCTCAATTGTAGCTTCCTTCTCCGAGTGAAAGAGACTATTTCGACTTTATTTGGATTAATGCTGAGATCATGAGAGGCTTTCTGCATTAGTTGAGTTATTGTGTCATATTTACCTCGAATTGTGATTCCCAGGTCATCTAGTTTGGTATAGTTGTGTATTTGCTTATTGAGACGATTTAAATTTATGCATAAAATTATGTCGTTTCCTTTTAGCATGTATTAGATTCAATATATTTTTGGAAAGTTTGTTTAACCGAAATTGTTATAATATGTGACTGTTGGGGAATTATAACATCAAATTTTTTTGCGATTTCACTAATTTTCATAGGTTATGTTTATTTTTGAAACGCGGAAGAAGGAATTTCAAGTTTCTAAATCGTGCATTAACCGGTAAGTGTTTTAAAATGTCAAATTAATTATTGAAAATGGTTTTTGAGTTGCTCAAGTAAATGTACGCGTCGAGAGAGAAAAAAAAATCGGCGTTTCCCGAAGAAGTATTAAGCATAAAGCGGCGCGAAGCGAGTTCTTAGCGGTTGAAGTTTCGGTTTGGCGAGTTGTTCGTAGCGAAATCGAAAGTGGTGCCGAAGGCCGTTTGAAAACGGCAATATCTTTTGAGACACATTTCACTATGTTAAAGCGGCGGCGGCCAGGAGATCCGTTAACCAACACAAGAACCAACCGATTATGACCTAGATTTGATGGCGCGTCTACTTCAAACCACTTTTACCCGAGTACGACGATGTGTACCGCACGTTCAGACATCAAGGACGAATTTAACGATTTAACTATGTCGGAATTAGTCGATTTTAATTTTTTTGATCTTATAAAATTAAGATTTTTTTAGTAACTTTTATTTTTTTAAGTTTGGCATTACCGAAAATCTGACATTTGCAAAAGAATAACCCGTCAAAAATCTCCCAGAATTTTTTTAATTTTTATGCATAAATCTTGATATTCTAAATGTATATGAAAGAATTAATTGATTACTACACACGAAGAAATAAAAAAACAGATGGTCTATTATGATTGTGCAACTTATTGAATATAAAACATGTGGTGAATGTGCCATTCACTCTTCTACGAGATATTACTTAGAATGTCGCGAATCGTTTCGATAACACCACTAATTTACTAAAAGAAAAGAAAATCTTTTTTAGAAAGTGCAGAAAACAAGATATTCGGCGTGTTAACCTATGACCTCCTTCATCTCATGATTATTACTTACGTGAATTTGAATTTTCGTTTTCATCCGTTACATAACACGTTTTAACGTTTTTATTTCACATTTAGCTCGCTATTTGTTTATTAATCATTTCTAAAAATTGAACGCATAAACATACATTAAATTAGTTAGCTTCGTATTTCTAAAACATGAATAAAAAATAGTGAATAATGAATGAAGTTTGAAATCTTTACCTGAATGAAGATTAATGTTTCCTTATTATCTTAAAAAAATCGTTTATTAATAAGTTTTTTCTAAAAAATAAATAAAATCCTCAAAAATTTTAAAGTGACAGATAAAAGTTAGGTTATGTTTTCGTTTCTTCTTCAATATCGGGAAAAATCAATTCTTAGAGTCCATAATCACTATATATGATTAGTTTGAGAGTCCAAAAATGTATTCAGATGTGGATTTTGACTCAATTAAACTTATTTTTTGGAAAAATTTAATAATTTTAGCAAGTAATGTAGTCGTAGGGATTAAATGTCAAAACTGACTTAATATGGATGGTTGTCGCTAGATGGGATTAATAACTATTTAGAAAAGAAAGAATTTTTTAAGATAAAAAAGATAATAATGGTAAAAATTTGAAATCTTTACCTGAATGAGGATTAATGTTTCCTTATTATCTTAAAAAAATCATTCATTAATAAGTTATTTCCAAAAAACAAATTAAATCCTCAAAAATTTGAAAGTGACAGATAAAAGTTAGGTTATGTTTTCCTTTGTTCTTCCATTTCGGGAAAAATCACTTCTTAGAGTCCATAATCACTAATCACTATAAATAATTAGTTTGGGAGTTCAAAAACGTATTTGGTGAGTATTTTGGTTCAATTAAACTTATTTTTTGGAAAAATTTAATAATTTTAGCAAGAAATGTAATCGTAGGGATTAAATGTCAAAACTGAATTAATATGGATCGTTGTCGCTAGATGGGGTTAACAACTATTTAGAGGAGAAAGAATTTTTTAAGATAAAAAAGATAATAATGATTAAAGTTTGAAATCTTTACCTGAATGAAAATTAATGTTTCCTTATTAACTTAAAAAAATCATTTATTAATAAATTTTTTCTAAAAAATAAATTAAATCCTCAAAAATTTTAAAGTGACAGATAAAAGTTAGGTTATGTTTTCGTCTCTTAGTCAATTTCGGGAAAAATCACTTCTTGGAGTCCATAATCACTATAAATGAATAGTTCGGGAGTCCAAAAACGTATTTTGATGGAGATTTTGGCTCAATTAANAAAGAATTTTTTAAGATAAAAAAGATAATAATGATTAAAGTTTGAAATCTTTACCTGAATGAAAATTAATGTTTCCTTATTATCTTAAAAAAATCATTTATTAATAAGCTTTTTTTCTAAAAAATAAATTAAATCCTCAAAAATTTCAAAGTGACAGATAAAAGTTAGGTTATGTTTTCGTTTCTTCTTCAATTTCGAGAAAAATCACTTCTTAGAGTCCATAATCACTATAAATGAATAGTTCTGGAGTCCAAAAACGTATTTTGATGGAGATTTTGGCTCAATTAAACTTATTTTTTGGCAAAATTTAATAATTTTAGCAAGTAATGTAGTCGTAGGGATTAAATGTCAAAACTGACTTAATATGGATGGTTGTCGCTAGATGGGATTAATAACTTCAGAAAAGAAAGAATTTTTTTAAATAAAAAAGATAATAATGATAAAAGTTTGAAATTTTTACCTGAATGAAGATTAATATTTCCTTATTAACTTAAAAAAATCATTTATTAATAAGTTTTTTTTCTAAAAAATAAATTAAATCCTCAAAAATTTTAAAGTGACAGATAAAAGTTAGGTTATGTTTTCGTTTCTTAGTCAATTTCGGGAAAAATCAATTCTTAGAGTCCATAATCACTATATATGATTAGTTTGAGAGTCCAAAAATGTATTCTGATGTGGATTTTGACTCAATTAAACTTATTTTTTGGCAAAATTTAATCATTTTAACAAGAAATGTAATCGTAGGAATTAAATGTCAAAACTGACTTAATATGGATGGTTGTCGCTAGATGGGATTAATAACTTTAGAAAAGAAAGAATTTTTTTAAATAAAAAAGATAATAATGATAAAAGTTTGAAATCTTTACCTGAATGAAAATTAATGTTTCCTTATTATCTTAAAAAAATCATTTATTAATAAGTTTTTTTTCTAAAAAATAAATTAAATCCTCAAAAATTTTAAAGTGACAGATAAAAGTTAGGTTATGTTTTCGTTTCTTCTTCAATTTCGAGAAAAATCAATTCTTAGAGTCCATAATCACTATAAATGAATAATTTGGGAGTCCAAAAATGTATTCTGATGTGGATTTTGACTCAATTAAACTTATTTTTTGGCAAAATTTAATAATTTTAGCAAGAAATGTCATCGTAGGGATTAAATGTCAAAACTGACTTAATATGGATGGTTGTCGCTAGATGGGATTAATAACTTCAGAAAAGAAAGAATTCTTTTAAATAAAAAAGATAATAGTTATGAAAGTTTGAAATCTTTACCTGAATAAAGATTAATTTTTCCTTATTTCCTTAAAAAAATCACTTATTAATGAGTTTCTTTTTAAAAAATAAATTAAATACTCTAAAATTTGAAAGTGACATATAAAAGTTAGGTTATGTGTTCGTTTCTTCTTCAATTTTGGGAAGAATCACTCCTTAGAGTCGATAATCACTCTAAATGATTAGTTTGAGAGCCCAAAAACGTATACTTATGTGGATTTTGGCTCAATTAAACTTATTTCTTAGCAAAATTTAATAATTTTAGCAAGCAATTTAATCGTAGGGATTAAATGTCAAAACTAAATCAATATGGATCGTTGTCGCTAGATGGGGTTAACAACTATTTAGAAAAGAAAGAATTTTTTAAGATAAAAAAGATAATAATGATTAAAGTTTGAAATCTTTACCTGAATGAAAATTAATGTTTCCTTATTATCTTAAAAAAATCATTTATTAATGAATTTCTTTTTAAAAAATAAATTAAATCCTCAAAAATTTGAAAGTGACAGATAAAAGTTAGGTTATGTTTTCGTCTCTTAGTCAATTTCGGGAAAAATCACTTCTTAGAGTCCATAATCACTATAAATGAACAGTTCGGGAGTCCAAAAACGTATTTTGATGGAGATTTTGGCTCAATTAAACTTATTTTTTGGCAAAATTTAATAATTTTAGCAAGCAATTTCATCGTAGGGATTAAATGTCAAAACTGAATTAATATGGATCGTTGTCGCTAGATGGGGTTAACAACTATTTAGAAAAGAAGCAATTCTTTAAGATAAAAAATTAATAATTATGAAAGTTTGAAATCTTTACCTGAATAAAGATTAATTTTTCCTTATTTCCTTAAAAAAATCACTTATTAATGAGTTTCTTTTTAAAAAATAAATTAAATACTCTAAAATTTGAAAGTGACAGATAAAAGTTGGGTTATGTTTTCGTTTCTTCTTCAATTTCGGGGAAAAATAATAATAATAATAATAAAATTTATTACTTACCTTATTAATATATTAAATTATTAATAATTAATTAAGGGTTATTATAAATAAAACAATTTTATTTTTTTGAAATAAAAAGTTTATATTTTTTTGTTAACACGAATGCATATTCAGAACTAAACAAATAAAAACTAAATACGCATTCTTTTGGAGAGTTTATTTTTGACATTTCTTTTTGACTTTTATATATACAATTACATACTTTGTATAAGTAGGCCCTAATATGCGGTATAAAAGGGCTTAGAATAAAAATATACATCGTCATTAGGATCACGTATTCTTTTCTCATACTTACAATAATATTATTACAATATATTTTTTTTTTAATTATAATCTCAATGAAAATAGATATTTTATTTTATATTTTTTTGTCGGGTTTTGGTAATTTTTTTTTAATAACTATCTCGTTAATTTTTTCTTTTTAAATCTACTTAATAATAATTAATGGTTATAAATGATTCATTATTTTATTCCTTATTTAAATTTTACTTAATTTTAAGTTTTTTCACTTTAAACGTATAACTATAGTAATAGAATAATAATAATATTACACGATTTCTACAAGTTTTGTGTTCAGTCAATACCATTTTTTTTTTCGTTTATTTATTATTATAATTAAATCATTTTTCTTTTAAACCTTTTACATTAAAACAAAAATTTTAGTGATTTTTATCGTTTTAGTTGGCAGATTTATATTCGGCGGGAAAATTTGAAATTTAAATTAATTTAATTTATGTAAAAGGTTAAAGACCCCAATTTAATCTATGTCATGTTTATTTTTATTATTTTTTTTTTTTTAATTTTTAAATACACAACTACTTTATTATAAAAATAAGGTATTTTTTATACTTTTCGTCGGATTTCTTCGTTTCTTTTTCCATTTAGTTAATTTAATTACTTCTTTTTTACATACAACGCAAAAATTAACCGGAAAATTAAAAATTATTAAATTTTAATACTTTTTTTTTTTAGAATTAGGCTTTTTTGGCTGATTTCGATCGGAAACTGTTTTTAATATTGTCACAGCCACTTTCCAAAAACAAAGAGGTGGGTTAGATATTTTTTACGTCCTAGTACAAGAAAAAATCTTTTGCCGATCGATTTCGATTTAACTTTTTTATCTTTTTTTTAGAATATTTTTTAGAGATACCTTAATTAATTAATTTAAAAAAAAACGGAATGTGACGGTAGACTTTTTTAATTTTAATTTTAATTTTAATTTTTCGTTTTAAAACGATCACGTGCATTGCATCCAGTTAGGATTACAAGGGCAATAACACGTTGAAGGTATCACTGGATGATAAATAATTCCGTTATAAAGAACTGGTTGAGGTTGTGTCATCATTCTTTGTTGATCCTGGCAAAGAACTTGCCATGCTAAGTTATCTATTAACGATAAAGTTTGTCGTCTCTCGTGGCCCATTAAGCAAACGGTTGATTCTTCGACGACTTCTCTCAGCAACATCAAGTATTGATGTTTCAAGCTCTCCTCTTCGGCCCCAACGAAGTGATTCCATAAATAATTCTCAAGTTTAGCTCTTTGTTGGCCAATATCGGGAAAGTCTATAAAAAATCTTGAGCACATGTACCTTTGTAACGTTTTTATATGATCAGGATTAGCGGGTCGATAATTTTTCACCAATAAATTACAGTACTTTAACAAACCACCACCTCTAATTTCCTCCGGGTGCCGCGTTGAGATCAATTTCTTTTGTAAATGATAAAGCGCCTCTTGGAAATCGCCATAAACAGACTCGCCGTTTACAGTCGGATAAAAATTTTCACTTATCGGTAATTCACTACAATCATAAAATTGCAATAACGACCCAAGAATTATTTGAAACGAATCCACGGAGAATTCAAATTGCCGCCTCATTGTATCGACGAATTTTAATTCGACATTTTTATGCCCGCGGGAATTCCCCAACGAAATTAAAGACCATCTATCACCGTCGTTTACCTTAACCATTTTGCTTACGTAAGCTTCTTTTAAACTACACGTTGATATCCTTTTTCGACTGACACCGTCTGGCAATAAATCGAATAGCGAACTTAAAACGGCGGATTTAACGCGATCGTAATTTCTTCCACTTGATAATTCGACACCGAAAATTAAATCCAAATCGTTATATGGTTGTGGTTCGGTTGTTAAAACGTGCGATGCTGCGCCACCATTTAAACGAATATCGCGCACTCTCATTCCGGCACCACCGGAAGCTGTATCCGCCTCTAATTTACTTCGAACGACCGTTACAAGATCACGAAGTCTTACTTCTAATGTTGGGAAATTTCCACGTCCGTGAATGCTGACGATCTCATCCATAACGTTATTTAATTTACGCACTTGTTCATAACTAAGGACTGCTTGACGTTGTTGGGACGAATCCATCGGTTTCGAAATGTTTATGGGTGCAGAGTCTGGACGGTGCCTTGATTCGGGCTCGTCAAGAGGTGAACACTGAAACAATAAAAAAATTATTTGTAGTTACATTTTAAATAACAAAAATTGAAAAGATAACGATTTTTATTGATAAAAATCTTAATTAAACTATCTCCAATTTATAAATAAATCAATTTTATCATCAAAAATGAGATTTAGTGCAATTTAAAGTGGATAGTTTTATCTATTGATATAAGCACAAATATATTCACGTGGAAAATCATATTCGGAATAAAAAATGCTTCAAAACGAGTACAAACACGACAGGGTTATCTTCAAAAATAAAAAAGATAACCTACAAGCCAAGATAAATCTCATCGCCATTTTAAGAAAATTCCAGCAAAGTTTTTTTTTAGATTAATAAACCCATTTGATGTCGTTTTAAAACATTTTTACTTTAGATTAGGCTTCTACATCAATTTTTTTTTAAATTTAACATAATCAAATTGGACAAAATCGTTTTTTATTGATATTAACATACAGAAAATGAAAAATCCTTTAAAACGAGTCCAAACTCGATGGGGTTATCTTTAAAAATAAAAAAGATAACCTATAAATATAGATTGTCATAGTCGCCATCTTGAAAAAAAAATTTTTAAGGTAAACCCATCGTGTTTAGTGTCATTTTAAAGGATTTTGTATCTAGATTATGATTTCTTGAATAAAACTAACCCAACTTAATTTATTATTTTTAATTAAAATATTTTTTTTATTGTCATTTTCTTGTAGGTTGTGAAAAATGCTTTAAAATGAGTACAAACTCGATGGGGTTATTTTTAAAAATAAAAAAGATAACCTAAAAATTACGTAGCCATCTTGAAAATAAACCTAAGTTATTTTCTAAAGTAAACCCATCGTGTTTGGTGTCATTTTAAAGGATTTTTAATATAAATTATAATTTCTCGAGTAAAATTCAAAAATTTGTTTTTATTCGAATCAACCTAACCTAACTTAATTTATTATTTTTAATTAAAATATCTTTTCATTGATATTTTCTTGTAGGAAGTGAAAAATGCTTTAAAATGAGTACAAACTCGATGAGGTTATTTTTAAAAATAAAAAAGATAACCTAAAAATTACGTAGCCATCTTGAAAATACACCAAAGTTGTTTTTAAGATAAACCCATCGTGTTTGGTATCATTTTAAAGGATTTTTTATTTAGATTATGATTTCTTGAATAAAATTCTAAAATAATTTTTTTTTGAGTCAACCTAACCCAACTTAATTTATTATCTTTAATTAAAATATTTTTTAATTGTCATTTTCTTGTAGGATATGAAAAATGCTTTAAAATGAGTACAAACTCGATGGGGTTATCTTTAAAAATAAAACAGATAACCTAAAAATTACGTAGCCATCTTGAAAATACACCAAACTTATTTTTAAGATAAACCCATCGTGTTTGGTATCATTTTAAAGCATTTTTTATCTAGATTATGATTTCTTGAATAAAATTCAAAAATTAGTTTTTTTTTGAGTTAACCTAACCCAACTTAATTTATTATCTTTAATTAAAATATTTTTTAATTGTCATTTTCTTGTAGGATATGAAAAATGCTTTAAAATGAGTACAAAGTCGATGGGGTTATCTATAAAAATAAAAAAGATAACCTAAAAATTACGTAGCCATCTTGAAAATACACCAAACTTATTTTTAAAATAAACCCATCGTGTTTGGTATCATTTTAAAGCATTTTTTATCTTGATTATGATTTCTTGAATAAAAATCAAAAATAAGTTTTTTTTAAGTCAACCTAACCCAACTTGATTTATTATGGTCATGTAAAATATTTTTTTTATTGTCATTTTCTTGTAGGATGTGAAAAATGCTTTAAAATGAGTACAAACTCGATGGGGTTATCTTTAAAAATAAAAAAGATAACCTAAAAATTACGTAGCCATTTTGAAAATACACCAAAGTTATTTTTAAGATAAACCCATCGTGTTTGGTATCATTTTAAAGGATTTTTTATCTAGATTATGATTTTTTTTATATAAAATATGATTTTTGAGTCAACCTAACCCAACTTAATTTATTATTGTCATCTAAAATATAGTTTTTATTGACATTTTCTTGTGGGAAGTGAAAAATGCTTTAAAATGAGTACAAACTCGATGGGGTTATTTTTAAAAATAAAAAAGATAACCTAAAAATGTCGTCGCCATTTTGAAAATAAACCTAAGTTGTTTTTTAAAGTAAACCCATCGTGTTTGGTGTCATTTTAAAGGATTTTTTATCTAGATTATGATTTTTTTATATCAAATTCAAATAAAAATATTTTTTTTAAGTTAACCTATCTTGATCTTTTTAACTAAAATATTCTTTTAATTGGCATTTTCTTTCAGAAAATAAAAAATCCTTTAAAATGAGTACAAACTCGATGGGGTTATCTTTAAAAACTATAAACATAACCTAAAAATTTCGTCGCCATTTTGAAAATAAACCTAAGTTGTTTTTTAAAGTAAACCCATCGTGTTTGGTGTCATTTTAAAGGATTTTTAATCTAGATTATAATTTCTTACATAAAACTCCAAAAAAAAATTTTTTTATCTCAACCTAACTTGATTTTATAACTAAAATATTTTTTAATTGTTATTTTCTTATAGGAAATGAAAAATGCTTTAAAATGAGTACAAACTCGATTGGGTTATGTTTAAAAACTATGAACATAACCTAAAAATTAGGTCGCCATCTTGAAAATAAACCTAAGTTGTTTTTAAGATAAACCCATCGTGTTTGGTGTCATTTTAAAGGATTTTTAATCCAGATTATGATTTTTTATATAAAATTCAAATAAAAATATTTTTTTCAACTCAACCTAACGTAAACTAACACGATCTTTTCACTTAAAATCTTTTTTTAATTGATATTTTCTTGTAGGAAACGAAAAATCCTTTAAAATGAGTGCAAACTCGATGGGGTTAACTTTGAACACAAAAAAGTTAACCTAAAAGTTAAGTAGCCATCTTGAAAATAAACTTGACTTGTTTTTAAGATAAACCCATCGTGTTTGGTATCATTTTAAAGGATTTTTAATGTAGATCACGATTTTTAAGTTAAAAATTAAAATTATTTGAATTAATTTTTGAAACTGGAATATTTTTGATTAAAAAAATTAACTAACCTAAAAACCTAGTCGCCATTTTGAATGTAATCTAGGTTATTATTCAAGATAAACCGGAATCACTTTTTGAAATTAAAAAGAACCTTTAACAAAAAATTCTTTTTTAAGAAATCGCTTTTTATCAAGATTTAATTTCATTTTATCTCCGCTAGATTAACAGTTAAGGTGTCAAGATCGAATCGCGATAGAAATAAATTCTCTTTCGCTTTTAAAGCTTTTAGTAACGTAAGTTGTGTTTTACACATCAAGGCAATTAACTTTGCAAGGATGTTTATTTAAATCCAATCAAACAATTCGTTTTTCTTCGATATTTATTACTTATTATTCATTTTAATGAAAATATTTTCGAACATTCTAGAAACTTCACGCAGGAACATATGGAATCGTTTAAAACCGCATTTTTCGTAAATAATATTAGTGTTATTACGAAACCGGTGGTTTATAAACTAAAATAATCTTATTTTTATTTGATTTTAAATCATAAAAATATGATAATTAACCAAAAAAAATAATTTGTTTATAAAAATTACAAATAAAAAGTGGGGATATAATTATGTATATGAATCTTTTTGACTTACACACATGTTATGATGTTCTAAATTGATGTTGAAAAAATAAAAACGATCGAATTAGTTCACTGCCACCTGTTTTAAAAGCGTCGCGACGCAGAGAACTGATCTCCGTCTGGAAAACGACGTCGAAATCCATTGGCGGCGCAGACGCAAATTCAGGCGTCGTCATGGCGATACCAATTTCGTCGGGCGTCGCGTAAATGACGTCACGACGCCAGTATTACGTAGGTTGCATGAATGGGCGTTAAAGAAAATCGTTTCGGCTTTTTTGGGAATAATTAAAAAATGATTAGGAAATTTCCGTTACTTAAAAAAACGTGTGTTTAAAAATTAATCTAAAACGAGATTACAAAGCAAAATAATTTTATAATCTTATCTTATTATAAAAAATACTTCCGGATTGTTTTTAAAAAAAAATTAATAAATAATACGGAAATCGTTTCGTTAAAATTTGATTTAGCTCGATTAGAGTCGTTTAATTTCCGGTTTATCTTTATCGAAGATTTCGGATGTCCTTTTTAATAACAATTTAATAACGCGGAAAAATAATAATAACAATAAATAAAGATAATAAGAAAAGATAGGGAGTATTAAATTCTTTAGTCGTAATAAAAAAAACTTCAATATCGGAAAACAAAAAAAAATCGTTAATGGTATTGATAAATTATTTATCTTTGTTAGGTTTAAAAAAAATATATTTTTATTTCGCGATTTTATCTTGATTTGATTTGAGGCCAGAATCAGGGGAGCTAAAACAACTTGTTTAATCTCCCCCAATTTTTTAGTGTTCTATTTTAAAAACATTTATCATTTTAATTTAATAGGTTAAAAACATTATATATACAGGGTGGTTCAGTTTTTAATTGTTTCCGAGCTACGAAAAAGTACATTTTATCTTTTATTAATAATTTTATTTATAAATGATTAATAATCATCAACAATTATGAGGATTCACTGTAAATAAAACTTACAAGTTCTCAGAGCCAACTTTTAGAATAATTTTACCTAAACAAAGTGGTACATGGCACGATATTTTATTTTTTTACACGGAAACTATTAGCTTTAACGAAAATACTATAGAGACAAAAAAGTACCACTAAAAAATGAGCTTTAAAACCCATATTTTTTTATGTTAATATCCCATAGCGTTAAAAAGTTATTATAAAAAAATCGAGGGGGTGATGAATTTCATCCTCTTAGAGGGCGTTGGGGAAGTTTAAGGTATGCTTGAAAATAAGGTCTTAACCAGTAGTAAATACGTACAAAGTTTCAAATTTTACACTTTACTTATAGCCGAAATACAAAACTAAATGTAAAATT